ACAAAAAAATATTATAATCACTTAATATTATTAAAGGTAAAAAAATAAAATTGAAATTTATTAGATAATTATTAATTAAAAAATGTGACCACAAATTAAAAAAATTTAAAATGGATAAATTTGTCAATAAAATTAAAAAATTATAATTCACTAGTGGTTTGGTACAAAAAGCTGTATAAACTAGCTTTTTCAATCCGATAGCGATTTAAACCCTAACCGCTATCCGCTAGTTTCAAGCCGCTAAATAAAAATTTTACCAAACACTTTAGTTGTAACGGTTTCGAAATATATAAATTTACCAAACACCTATATTTAGCGGTTTAGGTAAAACCGCTAACCGCTACCCAAAAACCGCTATACCAAACGGAGCCTTAGTCCCCTTACCTTTTTTTAGTTAAACTAATCTTGTTAGGGTTTAAAATTTTTAGGGTTTTAACATTAACCTTGTACATTTACTTTTAAAAATTAATTTTCTTAAGTGTTAATTTTAAAACTTGAATAAAGGACCTAATCTATCAGACAATACTTAGTTAAAATGGTTTTTCATTTTTAATGTAGTTTATGAAATCCATTCAACAACAATCTCTTTTCTTGCTTATGAAAAAGAAAAAACAAAAAAATAATAATAATCTTTTTTTGTAGGGTGGCCAACAAAGATATAATTCCTTACAAATTTTTTTGTTCTTGCATTGATAGCCTATCTTTAATTGGACATGGGAGGGATTATTCTTAAAATATATGCAAATTAACTCAAAAATTCCTTGAACATTAAACCCAAAAAAAAAAAAAAAAAAAAAAAACATCAACAAACAATCTTTTGTAGAATCAAATAGTCAAATAACAGGGTTCAAGATGAATTAAGATAAACTACAAAAAAAGTCCCACCTTATTAATAATAACATAAAAGTTTTTTTCAGCTCACTTTGAAAAATAAAAACATTAGTTTAGGTATAAAAAGATGAAAACACTCCTAATTAATAAACTAGGGATGGACAATGAAGATTCACTAATAGTACTTTTTCTTCTCTTAACTCAAATTAATGTTTTTAAGTGCATTCCACCTAAAAAAAAATCTCAGGTAATAAGGTTAAATGTCAATTATAGTTTCTCAACTTTTAAATTTAAACACTTTTAATTCCTAAACTCTTTTCATCACTTTTTTTCTTTCGATTCTTAACCCTAAAAATTCACTTTTTTAACATTTCCATCAATTAAATGGCGACGTGGGTATTAAATTGGTCCAAAATGACACTTTTTGATGATGTGGTAATTACACATCACTTCATACATGGACAAAAAATGCCAAGTTATATTCCATATTCTCATGACATTTAAAAATTGGTACTAGGCTCAACATGTCCAAAAATTTAAGTGACACTTGTATAGAATTTAATCTTCCACCTATTTTCATTAAATTTATTTCCCCCTCTTAATCATACTAAACTAAAATGTGGTAGGATCCACTTAAATAAATTATATTATTTTAAAGAATTATAAGTTCATTATCTTATATAATTATAAGTTACAAATTAAGAAATGAAGCATTTTTACATCACTTTTTTTTTTTGTATGAACCTCCCGGTATCCAGGAACCCATTGGATCACCGACTAATCTGGATTCGAGCCGAACAAAACTCAACGAGCAGCAAAACTCTCCTTCATGAGTTTTAATAGAGTGCATTCTTAGGACCTGAAACCAAAACCTCTAATTAAGTTGAAAGTGTTCTCTACCAACTCATCCACCCACTCGTGGATATTTTTACATCACTTGATTCTATGAATTAAATGATTTTCTTTCCTCCACTCCTCTATGCTTCCTCCTTCATCCAACTATTGCCCTAATCCTCTAGCCACTTTCTTCCATCAATCCATTTGAAAAGAGTCAAACCTAAAAGAAATCATCTAATGCTATTATATCATCCTCTATTCAATTAATTCTCCTAAAACAAAGAAAACATCCAATTCCATCATCATTGTCTTTCATTAAACTTTAAACATTCAAAAAAAATTGAAATTGAAGAACCATCACTAAAATTCAAATACAAGGTCCTAACTTTCTTAAAAAGCAAATAATTTTGAAATTTTTCAATAGACGAACCCAAATCTAGGTTCCTTTCAAAGCTAGTTCTAGGCATGTGTTGGGTTCATCATGAGTTCCTTACAAACCTAAATGATCTTAGTTTGCATGAATTGGGTTCATCAAGGAAGCCAGATCATCTAGGTTCGCGAGAACCCAATCATAACTAGGAACCCAAGGAGGGGGGAAGAGAAATGGTCATTGAAGAAGGGAGGAAAGGAAGCACTAGAAAAAAGAGTTTAAGGGGGGAAGAAGATGAAGAGGGGAGCAAAAACTATGAGGATGGAGGAAAGATATTTAGGGGTATTTTTTCGTTTCATAAGTTTCAATATTTTAATTTATAAATGAATTTAATTTTCAATTAAAACAATTAAGTTCTTAATTTTCTTTTGGTTCTATCTTTTCTATTGCATTATATAATTCAAAAAAATAAATTTGTCCAACTAGATTGTCCAACTAAGATAGGTATCACGTGAAATTGTCATGTCATTAAAACAATTAAGAAAAATGCCATCTGGAGTGATTTAACATGCTATGTCATGTTTAACTGATGGGAGGATCAAACAAGTACAATTTTTATAATTGAGTGACAAAAAATGTTCTTCAAATAGTGTAGGGACAAAAAATGTTTAAAATTAAAAGTTCAGGACCAATTTTTGGCATTTAACCTAATAACATTCATGATTATTAATTTCGTCTGGGTTGGATTTGGGCTCAAAACCGGGCCCAATGAAAACGGACAAAGAAAGAGAAAACCCTAGCAAGAACCTTCCCTTTATATCATCTAACCCTCACTTCTTCGTTCGTAGCGGCCGCAGCACCCTCTCCAACTCCGGTTCCCATCGTCATCGCCCTCGCTTCCTGGTACGTCTTCTACTTGATTGCTTGTTTGGCAACTTAGAAAATGTAGGAAAGTAGAGAAGAAAATTTCTCGTGCTGATGTTCACTTCCTTTAAATTCCTTTTTCGATGTGAAAGCCTAACCCTGTTTCTACTGATTGAAATATATATATATATATATAGATATATATATGTGCCCTTGTCTCTGTATTTGTTTATCTCTTGATTAGCTATTGCAAGGGATCTGAAATTTGGTTTTTTTTTTTTTTCTTCTTTTTGATTGTTCTGTTTGATTTTTTGAGCCTGGGGAAAAGTAGGGTTTAGTGATTATTGAATATTCTGGGTCCAGTTCATTGTTTTTCCCGGTTACCAGACAGCGGCATAATCTATTTCAGATTTTTTTTTCTGATTTATTGAAAATTGTGGAAACTGATGTGCCAATTGTCTTCCAGATTATTGGGTTTATTTGGCTTTGGACTTTAGAGTATGTTGGATATTTGTCTTAGTTATTTTGATGAATTTTCTTTCAGTTAATGTCTTTCTTGTTGATACAAGGTTTGTTTCTTTGACTTTAATTCAATGGTGAATGCTTTCCTTCACACGGATTAATTTGTGCGTCATAACTTAATATTTAGATTTTCCTATTTTTAACAAGCACTTAGAGAACCCAATTGTTTGATGCTTCACTTTCCTTTTCTTTTTTCTTTCTTTGAGATACATTATAGTTTGATTGATTCCATATCAACTCATTGTAGCGGTAGCTTATTGTCAAAGATGGGTCGTGTTCGCACCAAGACAGTGAAGAAGTCCTCACGCCAGGTAATTGAGAAGTACTACTCTAAAATGACCTTGGACTTCCACACCAACAAGAAGATCTTGGAAGAGGTTGCCATCATCCCCTCCAAGAGGCTTCGTAACAAGATTGCTGGGTTTTCCACCCACTTAATGAAGAGAATTCAGAAGGGTCCAGTTAGGGGTATCTCATTGAAGCTTCAAGAAGAGGAGCGTGAACGCAGAATGGACTTCGTTCCAGATGAGTCTGCTATTAAGACTGACAACATCCAAGTTGACAAGGAGACTATTGAAATGCTTGCTGCTCTTGGCATGTCTCAACTTCCTGGTCTCCATGAAGTTGAACCACAGACCATGGTTCCTCCCCCAGTCTTTGGCCGGGGAGGTGGTGCAGGTAGAAGGTACTGAGGTTATCAAGGCCTTGCAGTCATTGGAGTTTGGAAAATTAAGTTGTTTCTTTATGTTTTTGGTGGTAGTTACTTTTAGATGATTTGTTTTAGACGATTTTGTCATCAGTTTTTGGAGAATTGTTGAATTTGAACGCGAAATAGTACTTCTGTGTTGATCTAATAGACTCAATGATATAAGTTGCCTTGAGAAATTAATGTGCTTGTGATCAGGGGTTGCCCCTTAAGACAAGGGGTAGCTGCTGCCTCCTAAACTCTTGAGAAAGATTGAATGCCTCAGTGGAGGCATTCTACGCTTGCCTCTTCCATTCTATTATAACAATCACAACAAGACTTGAGAAATCAGCAACAAATTCTACAGTAAGATAAACCGTCTTCCCACACATCGTATTTGCACCGGACTTGAATTCTTTTAATATAATAACAGGAGCAAAGTGCAAAATCTCCTGCGGAGGCATTTTACTTAATTATTTTCATAGACGTGAATGTTTTGATATTAGGACCCACACCTCAATCAATAATTAAATGTTTTAAAGTCCTTGCAAAGTAGATTACGTAATGCTTGTCCTGGAAAACGAAAGTAAACATACATAAAACATATCCAAGAAAATCTACCACACAAAAAATCAGCTGCAAGGGGATGTAGTTCACATGGATGTAGTTGAGATGGTAGAATGCTCGCTTACCATGCAAGACGTACGAGGATCTATGCACCACATCCCCATTGTACTATAATCTTTTTTTTTTTTTTTTTTCACAAGTCTCTTTTAATTTAGGCTAATCCTTTATAATTGTAAATTTAGTGGCGATAATATAGTCAGTCTTTTTAAGTGACATTGAATTCTTCTTTTTTTTTTTGTAAAATAAAACAAATTTTAAGTGACATTGTAACTATATCTTCCCCATACTTTTCTAACAAATTTTTCTTCCAATATCCATATGCTGTAAGTTTTCTTTATCAATAAACACCCAAATTTATTTATTTTTTCTTTTTTTCAATCAAAGATACTGGTACAGCTGTTCTAATCCCAGGAAACATACCCACCAAATCACCAATTGAACCATTTGTAATGAGCATTTGTAAGAATGAGGAACTCTTACATTTGCTTATCATTTTCAATACAGTTGTTTTTCTTTCTCAAAGAAAGCTGAAACAATCTCACTTGTTTCGCTTTCCTTCTTTTGCATTTTGCCACAACTGCTTAGGAGGAGATTATAATGCAATGGCTTCAAGGTGGAGAAAGGTAAGGAATACGTGTAACACAAGAAAGCAAAAGTTGGCTATGACTTGGAGCACCCGGCTCCCATTGATGAACTCCTTACTGCAACCTTCACTGCCCCAACAGCACTGAGTTGTCTCCTCTCAGGGCTCAGCCCATGTCCGTCCTGGTTCTTACCACCTTCTTCTATCTGAACACCCATGAAGAATGCTATCTGAACCAGCAATGATCACAGTATTAAATACCAAATTAGACCAACCAAAGAAATATGATATACATTTCACAGGATGTAGGTGGATAGAGAATTAGTAGTTAACAGCAACAATTAAAACGACTATTATTAGCAATGTTGTAGTTGTAAACTTCAATCAGAATTTAAACTTTATAATTAAAGCATTAACCCGATTCTTAACTACTACTTGAGTAACTTATCTTTGCATCATGACTAGAACTTCAACATGACTGACACAACTACAACTACAAGAACTTACTAAAGCACATAGGGTGATTTTCAGTCAGACCTAGAGCGCCTTGTCTATTGATTTGACTACATATGCTAGCAAAGGCCTTTTTTAAACGTGCAACACTTTGGGTGTGTAAATAAGTCCAACACTTTAGGTGCGTTAATAAGTCCTCACCATGGTAACTAACAAGGACCATCGATGATTTCAGCAATTAAATGCTACAAATATTTCAGAAGCGTGTCCCTTTAGAGAAAAGCTATGTCATGTATCATATCTGACTAATCACTGATAGAAGTATTTTGCAACCTAAAAATATCAACAACATAACTTGCATATGGTGACCCCTCAACCAGAAAGAAGGGTATCAGCTCTAGGTTTTTGATTTGAGCAATCAGTTTTTTTCAATAGAGAAAATTCATTTGGTTGAGGCTAGGACAATTAAGATAACTTAGGTTAGGAAGCATAGGATTCCTGTTTATATCTAAATGATTAATCTAAAGACTCCTTTCCATATGCTATATACCAAAAACCCAGCTGTATACATAAGCTTAATATAGATGGATGAAAGAGAAACAATGCCAAGTCACTAAAAAAAGTGTAGTACTTCTGGCCAAAGAAGAAGAGTCAAATACTATTGAAGGTGGAAAGAAAGAACAAGCATGCCAAGAATTCAATTAATGCCTAGACTCAAATTTCTTCTAGCATATTTGCTATCAAGGATATCTTTTGTGTTAATATCAAACAGTTATCCTTGAACTATTTTCTTCTAGTGCTGGGATTGATCAATAAAATCTTCCCTCTTTCAATTGTGAGGTCAATAAGGTGCCTATATACACACACAATGCATCAACCTTACTTTAATAAAGAAGGGAAACACGTCCCAACTTCTTACTTATTTTTTCCAATACTCCATAGATCATTCCATAAAAATCAAAGCCAGCCCAAAAGGCAGCCAAAAAACCTGCTTTATCCCAAGTTACCATAAAGAGTCTTGGGAAAAAGGCCTCTGTAACTTGATTAAAGGAATGAAATTAAGTCTGCAAGTTAACCAAAACCTTCATCTTTTAGCTGTCTTTGTATTGAAATGAGAATGGAAGGACATCAATTTGGCATCTATCCCTGATGCACTGAATTAAGGTGACTAGCCAGAGGCTTATTAAGGTGACTGAGAACAATATCTATACCAGCATTTGTCAACAGAACATCAGCAGAATGATCATAAACCATATAGAATCTAGCTTACAAAATTATATGCATGTGCAATCATAAAATACCTTGCCCGATGCATCACAAACAGGTGTTATGTGAAGAAGATTCCAAAATGAGCTCTTATCCTTCCTGATTTAAAATAAAGAAACATTATATTTAACTCTGTTAAGTATGATGCCATTCCTAGTTTCTTATAATAAACACTGAAAGTGTTAAAGTGTCAACCTGTAATTTAAGATACGTACTGTACATGCTTGTTCAGTCCTGATGCTTTCCTTTATCTGGAGAAAAATGTACAATAAATATAACCAAGTACCTTACAACCCCTTTCATCACAACATAACTCAGAAAGAATTCAAGAATTATAGTGGATAAAATTCAACACCTGATGTAAAGTTGAAGTATCTGTACCCATCCCATTCAAGAACCTGCAATTGCACCCTAATACTTCTTGCCTTTCATAACCTGTAGAAGTAAAGAAGAAAGGTAAGAAACTGCATAAGCTGCAGCATTATGTATATTTTTTATGAGACAGATCTAGATCTTTATATCCTTATTAAGTAATGTATGGTATTAAAAATCAAATACTTGTGAGTGTAAATTTGATAAAGCAATGAGCACCTGTCAATTTTAAGAAGGCATCACTTGCGTAAACTATAGGCATGTCAGGTAAACGTGGATCAGTTCTGCTAGGCAACACAAACATGGCACAGGAACATAAAGCAAAGACATCAGACATCTTTTCAGATATATATATCTACTCTAAAATAAGAAAACTAAGAATTTTGCAATAACTCACAATACAAAGCTTTGTTTGATTCTACCAAGTGATATATTTAGTGATGAACTGATGAAGCCTACCCCAGAAATGGCACATCTCTTCCCACAAACAAGTCTGCCAGTCACCTCACTGTAGTGGGTTAGCACAGAAAATATATTCTTAATGGCAGTTGTAGCTTTTCGCTTCTCCAAATCACTTGCTTCACAACGCTCTTCAGCATCTAACCCTGTAAATATGGACTTGGAAAGTAAGATCCTGACCCCAAACATCTAATAATGATTAGTGATAACCATAAATAGGCACATATTTACAATTAGCAAGATACAATAGACAGAGAGCAATTCACTAACCATAAGAAAAATCATAGTTAATACTAACAGACATGCTTGGGTACAACTCAACTCAACTAGCCTTAATCCCAGACTACTCTATACCAGTGCCATAAACACTTAACACTCTCACTGCATTCCACCTAATCAGGAACCATAGATTTGTGAAGGTCCAAAAGAGATGGATCATTTGTTGTTATTCCATCCCATGTGATCTGTGTCCTGCCCCCACCTCTTTTATTCCTTCTACTTGAATTGCATCACAGTTACATCTTACACATAGAGCATCCCTTTGTTATGTTACACATGGCAAACTAAACCGTCCTTTTAAACTTCTTACTGCCTCAGTTGGTGCTACCTCAACCTTTTTATGAATAACCTGAATCCTCGCGTCTAATATTTTCTGGCATCCATCTTAAGTCTTAACATCCTCATTTCAGCTACATTAATCCTGTAAATCTAAAGTTTCCCAACCCTCAGCTTAATAAAGCATAGCTGTTCTTGAAAAGGATGCAGAATTTAAGGAGTTGAGAGGCAAAGAAATGAAAAAGTATGAGCTGATAAAATTGGAAACTAACCTCTACAGGTCGAATTGAATGCCAAAACATGATCCAAGTCCAGCAAAGAATCCGAGGCCACTTCCCTTCTGCAAGACCCGAGCACAATCTCATTAAAAGCAGACCCATCCTTGCTCAAACTCACCCCATTCCTCCTCTGCATCCTGGAAATCGGAACCTGAACAGCTACGAAGTGAATCACCTTCCCATCTTCCTTACTAAAAACTGGGCTCATCTGAAACAACATCCAAAACGGCGTCCCATCTTTGCGATAATTCAACAGATTAACCTGAAGCCCTCTCTCTTCCCGAATTGCCTCGCGTATCTCGATTACCGTTCCCCTATTGGTCCTCGGACCTTGAAACACCCTCCCGTTCTTACCGATCACCTCTTCCGGCGAGTACCCTGTCATTTTCAAGAAACCCCGGCTCGCAAAAACTATTGGGTGGCCAGCAATTGAAGGGTCGGTGATGGTAAAGCTATCAGGCAATTCGTTGAGAGCCTCGCGCGCTGAATGCGAGTACCGACAGTCGAATGACTGATCAATTAGACCCAGTAAGGAATCCATTTCTGTTCTCGTTTTCTGGGGCCTCCACTTCGTAGTTTGCAAATTGACACCAATCCCATGTGGCAATTTCCAAGCTCTGGAGGAATTGAGATGTGGGGTTGTTCAAGAAAGAGAAAACGGGGGGAACACGAACGCAGCACCTAGAAACTTAACAACCCATGATTAGAAACCCACGGAATTCAGGTGGAATCTTCACAAAGCAGACAAGAAGAATGAAATTGTAGTAATTCAAGAACTATTCCTTCTCAAAGAGTAAGCTTGGGAGTGGGAGTAAAAAAAGACAAACACAGACAGATACGGAGACAGCGGAAATTGGGAAAATATCTGGATGCAAAATTGGGTATCGAATGAACAAAGATGATTGAGCAATCCCCATCAATCGTTTTTCCGTGGATGAATTGATTTGTGATGGACGTGAGAACCACACCACAAAGCAAGACGCTTTGCACTCTGGAGCTTCACGGTCACAAAAAAAGAAAACACAACTCTTCACAAAAAGACACAGGTAATTCTTCTTTCCCAGGGTTGTTCTTTTTTGCTACATTTATGGCTTGGCTTGGACCGTCATGCCAAGGCTAGTTTTGGAGAGTAATCCTTATCCAAATGACTTGAGGATCATCTCCAAATTAAATTATGTTTCTAAAGAAAATTTTAAAAAATATTTTATAATGTAGATTATATATTAAAAATATAATTTATTATATAAATTTATTTAAAAATTTTTATTAAA